GAGTTTTAAGGTGCTGGATTTGTTCCTGATTGTGGTTGCCTCGCTGTTCTTGTTGCTCCAGGTCACAGAGGCGTTGCATGATTTCAATCTCTTGTTGACGTTGTTTGACCGCTAAGAGCTTAGAAAATTCACTGCATTTTTTTGCTAGGAAAAACATGTCATTATTTAACCACGTGATGAGGGAGTCGATTTCTGGTAAACGTTCCCGCCAATATTCCCATCCCTGTTTCAAATAGGTCCGAAATGAAGTCAAGTGGATCAGGGAAGTGTTAAGTTTGTAAAAGTCGGACCCCTGGTCCGGTCGTTTGCAGAAAGTGAAGACTGCTAAGCACATTTTGTGATCCAACCAAGTGTATGGGCTTAATGGTAGTATTGCAGAGGCGGTAAGGCCTCCCGCCAAGGCTTCCGCAGCAAGGATCAAATCAATATGGGATTTAGATAATTTGTCGGGGTTATTGTGTTTAATACAAGTAAAGACTCTCTCTATAGGGTAGTTGCGTCGAAAAGTGTCGAAGAGGGTGAGAGAGGTACACAGTTGGTGTAGCATATTTTCGTCCTCTTTGGTATTGTGAATGCAGGAGGGGACCACTTTCCATCTGTCCATCCATCTAGTATCCGGTGTAGCATTGAAATTTCCTGCTAAGATCACCGGGATGCCTACCGGGGGGATGGTTTGGATTTTGTCAAAGAATTCTCTCCTTTCCCGGGCTGTATTGGGGGCGTAGAGAGCAACTACACATACATCTTCTAGCTCCAACATCCCTAACACAGAGACCCACCGCCCTTCTATTTCGTCTTGTTGATGGTTTATGACATCAAATCCGGAGCCAGGGGGCACCCATACCACCACCCTCGCTCTTCCTGGTGCCAGGGTGTGTGCCCTATAGGCTTGATAAGGCCATACCTGTTTGTGCGCCCTGTGATGCTCCGGTCGGTCCATCAGGTGGGTCTCTTGTACACAGATTAGGTCGGGCCAGATCCTTTCTCCAACCCCCCGAAGAAGGTCCCATAATGCCTGTGTTTTATCCTGATTGTACGAGGCAAGGCCATTTACATTGATGGTTCTAAGGTCCAGATCTGCTGCCTGCAGCGTACGCCTCCAGGCTTTATTTCTGCCATACACCGTTTCTACCCAATACATCTGCTATATCATCTCATCCCCTGCAGCCTTTGCCATTCTTGCACGTCCCAATCCACCCTCCCATTGAAGACGTTTCTACGCAGAACACCACACAGGATTGTGAGCAGGTCGTCGACCGACCGAACTTGGCTGGGTTTTATCTTGAGCTGTTGCATTTCCAGCAGGCCACTGTGTGATTGCCAGGTTAGGCCTGCCTCCTTGGTTTCATCAAACAAGATATAAAGGTCCTTGTAGCCTTGTAGGTCATTTTTAACGTTTTTTTTTTTTTTTTTTTTTTTTTTTTTTTGGAGAACCATATGAGCATTTATTTCACAAGGTCAAAAGAGACGGGGTCGGGAAACCCCACAACAATCCCGAAATACTGAGGCCATTACCCAGATAGGCTCTTGGAAACCGGGTCCAGTGTCCCTGTTGGCCAGAAAAACCAGCTCCCCAAATAAAAATAAAAGGCTCCGACACCCATACCAATTATATCTACCCTTCCTAGCATGTTTAACAGCACTCTATGGTGGGGAGCTAAAGCGCTCCCCATGTCCCTGAGGGGACAACAACCAGGGACAAAACCGCAACCTACTATTTGAGTTCAGTTTAACCACACTAGAATTCCTTCCCCACGTATCCCAAAACCACTTCCAAGATTTTTGGGTGCTTGAAACTTTGTGTCTGAGGCAATCACTCCGAATTGTGGTTCTAATCTGCTGGGTCACCAACAACTTAATCTGAGCATCCGTGGTCCCTGACGACCTAAAAAGTAGATTGTTTCGATCGTCCCAAATGATTTTCAGAATGATTGCCCTCAAGCATTGAGCCACATAGAGTCAATCATGCTCAGATGTTTTCTCTTTGTTGTGAGTGCCTAAGATTATCCATTCGTCTGTCCACTCAAAAGCTTTTCCTGAGAACTTCTCCCAGTGCGATATCCACCAATCCCAAATTCTACGTGACGCTGGACAAGTAAGCCACAGATGTCTATTTGTCTCCCAAGGCCAACGGCAGCAGACACATACTGTTGAAATTGACATTCCCCCAGCCGATAGGTTAACTGCAGAAGTTGTGGCCAAAAAAGATTGAAGCCATACAATATTTGCTAGCCTTTGAGAAGGGATCGCTTTATACTTCCGCCACAGCGAGGCTAATTGATCTTCCGAAATCATCAAGAGATCCCCTTCCGCTCTGCGTTTAGCTACTGATACTGCAGGGGGCTTAGCAACCTTCGCCTTTTGAATTGATACTCCCACCTTTGCTTTATAGTTTGCCAAACTGATCTTATTTTGCTCCTGTCCGATTAGCCATCCCAAGGCACGTATATCCACTGCCGCTTCCGCCAGTGGGAGTAATCTCATTGGTAGTTCAGCAGCCCATGTAATTCCCCTTGCCCCAGCAATTCTTTTGAGTTGTGTCTGAACTACTATTTCCACTAAGCTACTAATCTCAGACAACCGCACAGACTTTTGTCCTGGAGATAGTTCCTTGGTGAATTCAACCGAACTATCAATTTGCCATTCCCTTGCCAGCCATTCTTCTTCTCCCAGATCTTGAGTAACGTGATACACCACTGGTGGATAAGAGGAGCTACAGATGCCCCATAGGCCAGCTGCCGGAATACTCTCCTCTGTCAAAATCTGAATCCATGAAAAAGGGATCGCTTGTTGAACTACTATTACCCTATTTTTAACGTCTCTGAGTCTGCCTAGAATGAGCTTAATTTGGTCCAAGGTTTTCAACATTCCTTTCGACTCATCCCACAGATCTTTCAATTTTACCACCCCTCGCTCTATCCAGGATTTACCAAACTTCCCTGGGGAGTCATGGGCTGAGAATGTCTTCCCCTCTTTATCTGTTATCAGCGGGTTTTCAAAGATGATTTGGTTCAAGACCGCTGCCCTGGTGGAAGGACCTTCTCTGTCTGTTGGAAACACCTTATTCCAAGCATACAGAATGTCCTTCCAAAATTTGGACTTTGGCTGTTTATTAACATAAGAACCTATTTGTAAACAAGCCAAAACATCTTCATCTCGACTCAAAGACCATTATCCTCGCAAGATATATACAACCAATTTCAACCAAGGGGAATCCAATCTTGCTGACAGGGCCTTAATGGGCCATTTGGCAAGCGTTGCGATGTTTTGCTGGCGAGGGTCCAGCACTCCCAGACCCCCTTCATCCCTGGGGAACGAAACGGTTTCCCACACAACTTTTGCCATGAAACCTTCCTGCTCACTGCCTCCCGGTTTCCACAATACCCTTGCCGCAGCTCATCTTCTCCTTTTATATGCCCCTTCACCCAGGAGATGGACCGCCAAAGTAAACCATAAGATTGAAAAAACAGTTGTAGAGATAACAAGTGCTCGGTCCACGAGGGACAAATGTTTCTTGTTTTGCCATGATAGGAGCCTGTTAACCACTCTCTCTTCCAGAAGCGAATCTTGATAGGACGAGTTCTCTGATAATGAGATTTGAATTCCTAGAAACCTCTCAGAAGAGACTGCGGGTATTTTTTTAAGACCCCAATTTACCCGTAGTTCAAATGGTTTCGGCAAGAAGTACGCGGACTTATTCCAATTGATAGACGCTTCTGACAACTCGCAATATCTATTCAAAATTTTCCTCAGATTCAACAGATTAGACCGGGAGTTAATGCAGGCTACCGAGAGGTCGTCCGCCAAAGCACCTCCTTTCCATTTCACTTCATCCCTTAAAGATAAACCTTTTACTCTCCCACTATATCTCAGGTTATCAAGCAAAATTTCCAAATGGATCACGAAGAGTAGAAGGGCAAGGGGGCAACCCTGCCTCAAAGATCTAGTCAAGGAGAAGGCCCTAGAGATCTGTTCATTCACCATCACTGCCGCAGTAGCACTAGAGTGCATAACTGATACCCAATTGCAGAAATTTTGACCGAAGTTCATATGTTTCAGCGTAGTCATCACAAAGGCTCATCCGACTCTATCATACGCCTTCTCCATATCTAATAACAGTATTGCAACATTTCTATTCTCTTTTGCAATGATTTCTAATGCTTGAATAGTGGCTGCAATATTATCTAAAATAGATTTGTGTTTCACAAAAGCCCCTTGCTCACTTCTTATTAGAGAAGAGAGGTATTTAGCCAAACGAATTGCTAGAACCTTTGCGAGGAGTTTGTACGACACATTAAGAACCGAAATCGGTCTCCAGTTTCGCACATCAGTCTTTTCACCTTTTTTATATAATAGCATTATAATCCCTTTTATCATACCTCTAGTGAGTCGCCCTCCTGTGAGGACCGCATTATAGGTTTTCAATAAATGAGGGCTGATTACCTCCCAAACGGCCAGATACAGTTCGATTGGGAGACCATCATCGTCGGGGCACTTACCACTAGCCATTAGTTTTGCCGCGACATAGAGTTCTTCCGGGTTTACCGGTCTATCTAGATCCAACTTAGATGACGGGGACAGGCTTCTCTTGGACCAATTCCAGAAATCATTTCCTTCTCGTAAGTCGGAATCACAGTCATCAAAGGGTCTACGGGTAGTTAGGATATCATAGAAGTACAAACATGCATATTCGCACATTACCCCAAAGTCCATGGAAATCTGCGGAGAGATAGAGAAGGGGTGGGCCAGTTGGTGCATGGGCATCTTCGTAGGCTGTAGCAATAATCATCGGAATGTCTCCTTACACATGCGATCGTCGGTGATAATATTCCTCTGGGCAAGCCACTCTTTCCATCTAACCTGTTGTTGGATTTCTAGTGCTTCCAACTGATGATAGGCCCGTTTCCTAACCCCTGTCCAGTAGGCGTCAGTAATAGGATGTTTACCGAATTCCTTCTCCGCAATTTGAATTTTCCGTAAAAGACCTCTCTCGACTTTTTTCCGTTCCATGACCTTTATCTGGGAGATATTACTCAGCGAACCCTGAAGGATTCTGAATCCTACTTCCAACCAGTCTTCCTCCTTCTCGAATAAAGACTTAGCCATTTCCCATTCCTTGAAATGGTTACGGATCCAGTCTCGAAAATCCGGATCATTAAGATGCTGCGTATTCAATTTAAAGTAAGAGCTCCCAAATTTCTGTGCCTGAGAAATCTGAAATTTTGCAGTGATTGGCAGGTGATCCGACATAGACCCTACCCCAACCTCTATCCTATGCCAAGTTTCCCATGGGGTTCCCTTCATAAGCATGAAATTCAACCTCTTCCTTACCGGTGGAGACTGGGACCCAAACCAAGTGTATCCCGGATCCTCAGGATAGAGTACCCTAAATGCATCGATTAGACCTTGACTAGTCAGAAAGGCATTTAATAATCTGATATCCGATCTTATCGGAGTCACTTTTGGCGTATCCAAGCCCGGGTTTAGTACTGTGTTCCAGTCAGCAGCTATGATACGATTAGCACAATTAGGGACAAAACTCGACATTTGCGAAATAAACTTAATTCTTTCCTTATAACAGACCGGAAGATATGCAGACATCACAGCCCAATCCTCCGAGCCCACCGAGAATTTCACCCAGAGCCACCTACCCCAAGTGTCAACCATAGTATCAATGATCTGAGTGTCGAAGTTTTTGTGAAACAGGATTCCCACACCACCCGTTGTTCCGTATTCCCCCTGTCCCCCCCTAGCAGGGCCCCGAAATTGAGGGTCTGTCCACCAACTTTCCAACTCCCGTATACGGTTATCATCTAACTTAGATTCTTGGATGCACAAAATTGGAATTCTTTCTTTATGCATCCAAGATTTCAGGCGGCTACGTTTCTGTTTGAACCCCGTATCACACAGTTCTCGTACATTCCATGACGCGATCTTCAACTTACCATTACTGAGCATCAGTCAACGAGAGGCCTTTTTTGCCATGGATGCGGCCTCTCGGTGATTCCCCGTTATCTGGTTTCTTCCGTCTCCGTGCTCCCTCCCTACCTCCTGACGAAGGTGAAGTCACCTGCCATGGGGTGCCTAGGGTGGCTTTGAAGGACTCGTCAAATAGAGCACTTCTATACACTTCCGCATCACGGAGCCATTCCGCTATCACTTTGGCGGATAGGGAACCCTTCAATGAGATCTTTTCGAGATCCTCATTGAGATCTGAATCCAAGAGATTTAGGGCAAACCAAGATCTATCCAGAGCTTCGAGCTGGTCCTTAATTGTATTCTCCATTTTGGCGTCCAAAAAAACAAAATAGAATCTCGTTTTTTGGCCCGATGGTAACGCGACGGTATGTACCCCAGTCCTCATCCCTTGGATTACCCTGATCTGGAGGCAACTCGGGACTATATATCTTGTCCTCTTTAGGATCGCTGGTTGCGTCAGCAACTCCTTGAATTCCACCGTTGGTTGTTCCATAGAACCATCCGCTAACTGAGTAGCCAGAATCATCACGCCTGAGCTAGCACGAGCGAATATGAGGGGAACTAAAACTCTAACAATATCGTCCCCTCTGTTCAGGGTTTCGATCGGCACTCCGCCCACCAGACCTTCCACTCTCCCTCCTCCCCCTGTCCCACTACCTTCCTCTTCCATCAAGTATCCTCCGCATTCCTTCTCATTCTCCTCTTCTTCATCCTCTTCCTCCTTCTCCTCTTCTGACCCTTCACTTATCTTTACCTCTTTCGCAAATCCCTGAAAGGAAATGTCCTTCATGTGGTCCCTCCCGCCACTTCCCGATTTGAAGGCTTTAGACAAAGCTTTGTACGCCCCTTTCTCCAATGCGGATAACCGGCTGTTTCCTTCACTCTCTGATTCTACGCCGTCATCCGCCCGGCTCGAGCGATCTCCCTTCACCCTTGAGTGTTGTCCACTAGGGTCCCCTTGCTTGCTCTTCCCCTTCTTCTTCTGCGTGGTCTGCTGCTGCGGTTTCCCTTCCTTCCCTTTCGATAATCCCTTGGTTTTCTTCTCCCCCTCATCCCTCGATCCTTTCCTTGAGCCGGAGGTCAATTTCTCCTGGTACGACTGGTTTCCCCCTGGAAATCTACGGAATCCTGTCGTAGGGGGTTTCTCTCCAATCGGCACGAAGCCTGAAAAAGGTGGGGACGGCGGTACTGGCCTGTTGAAGTTATCCGCAAAAGGATCTGCCTCAGCATTCCCGGGGCAACAGTCGTCTTTCTCCTCATGATAAAATTCTCTACAACGATTGCACCACGGGGTTTGTGCTGAAACCACCTCAAAATAATAGTCACCTTGTCTAGGGACTCCTACCACCAACCTCGGTTTCACCCGAGCCTTCACACTCACATCCATATCAAATCTTACGAAGCCCAGTTCTGGGTCTTCTTCCCCCTTTTCCATAGGATGTACCTTCAACACTGTACCAAAGGTGTTTTCTACAGCAACACAAAGCGATGACAACAGCTGAAACGGAACACGAAGGCATCGGATCCAAAAAAATTTGGAAGCCGGGTCCTTATATGTCCTCATTTCCGCCAAGGTCATCCATGGAAGGAATTCAACCCTGTACTCCTTCCCCTCGGTAACTATCACATCGTTCCCTTTTTTTAACATCCAGGTGATTACCGCTTTTTCCGCGGAAACAAAAGAGGCCAAGTTTCTCCCCTCGTTCTGATATCTACCCCTTGTAGTACGCTCATCCAAAAGACCCGAGTCATACCAGGCGTTCTCATAGACTCTGACCAACTTCTTTTTCATCTTGTTTGACAACACAGCAGCCTCGTTTGAAAAGACAACAGTCACCGCATGCTCCTTCAACCATTGGATACTGAGGTCAGAGAAATCTTCGTTTAGATCAAAACGAGCAATATCCTCGCTAATCTCTGCTACCCCAATATTCAACCCCCTTGGCAAAATTCCATCCCTAAAGCAGTCTTCAAATAGTGAGGAGATTTGCTGTTTTTCCTCCGCGGTATAAACTCGATTCCTCGACTGCCCCCCTCGGGGTACCTCCCCCGGGGTGCCCATTCCCCCGCTCTTATCTACTAGACCAAGGAAAAATGATCCCAGCCAGCAGATATAGAAACAGCTAATCAATGGCTTAACAGCCAACTGATATCGCTGTACTATCATGAGAAACAACACTAATATCACCACTTCCTAGAGCAGGGTAGGGTTAATGAGATATGAGATTACCACTCTCTCTATCGAAGGAGATTCTCCACCTTGTCTCTTCCTGAAGCTTTGAGGTTGATACACCGCTTCACATGCAGGCTGATCTGCCTCGAAAGAGGGGTCCGATCCCTCTGCAATTTCTTCCGACAGCTTGCTCATTCCAGGCATCAGCTTCTCCATACCATGCCACAATCCCAAATCTCCCTGCCTGGTAGAAGTCGCATTGGCTGCAAAGGCAAGCAAGTTTCCTTTTGAGATGGTATCGATCAACGGTCAGCGGGCAACGGACGGGAGGGGCTAAGCACTCCAGGCCGCTAATGAAAAGATACACCCATCCTACCAAGGATGTTGCTATTCTGGAAGAACAGCAGTGCTACTTAACTAACTGCCATAGCACAACGCGATGGCAGCAAACGGCTCGAGTGCGTCCTCTTCATCTCCACTTATAATCCTCGCCCTCGAGACTACCGAGGTGAGCGTCGCTGCATGCGCCCGCCACTCTTGGAGCCTGTATCTTAGCATTCGGTATCGCCTTCAGGGCGCAACCCTAGCGCTAATCAGCGTTTCTGAATTAGCGCATGGATTAGCGCACGGATAGCGCTACCGCTCCCCCCTTCCTTTGGCACTTTTTTTCCTGACGACCTTTTTAACGGTTCTGAGGAGACACTCAGAGTAGCTACAGCTCCTGGGTCATAAGACAAGAACAGAAACCTAATGGAACAGGCTAACTTAGGCAAGGGTAAAGGGTGGTACATCCCTCCTTCGCGAGGTAATCAATGCCGTCCTTTGGGCCTCCACACCATGAGGGGGAGGAGCGTGAGTGAGTACACACTGTAATCCTTTATGACTTGCCGGTAGAATAGGAACGGGACTGACGCTCCCCAGAATGGAAAAGAAGCCTCAACGCTAAGGTTCTGTTTTCGGAAGAGGAAAAAAAAAGGGCACCTTCCAGTGCTACCACAGAAAAGATACTCTCTTCCATCCTTTTTTAAAATCGTGCAATGATTGTCCAAAAAAAAAAAAAAAAAAATCGTGCGATGATTGGTCCCATGGGGCAGATGTTCTCTGTGGCCAAAAAGCCCGGCAATCTCGCTGCGAAATGGCTACAGAGGGGCACCTGGCCCATGCGCCAGATGGTTGGTCCCATGGGCCAGATGACGCCAGAGAGGGGCATCTGGCAGACTGGCAGGTCAACCATATCTGGGACAGGGACAAGTGTGCGTGGTCCGGAGTGATTCGGAGTGGATCACTTGAAACAAAAACTCAGCGGCGTACACAGAATTGAGGAGCACAGTGCACAGCCAATCTCCGCTATACCCCCGTAGTGGGTGGTCATTCATTCTCTCAAAAAGTACACCCAGGGGGTAAAGAGGCTCCTGGTGGAAAAGCAGAACAGATGCGACCTCCTTCCAAAGTGCGAAACTGTTGAGCAATTCTACAGCCGAGGCATCAAGTCCGTCCCCTCTATGTGAGGGAACAGTTACTATGACGCTCCGATATCTCTAGCCAGTGGCCAACTCATTTCCTTCCAAAGGGTTGCCTGTCAGTGAACGTAAGAGTCGCAGTACGGGAAGGGCAAGGAAATACAGCTACTCTCAGACCGGTGCTGTGACGTTTGACATTCAGCGAGTTGAAGACCCACATGACCAGAGTAGGTGTGTACTATCGCTGATGACTCAGCAACCACTTCTACTGCCCTCGTCAAGGATTATTCTCCAAAAGTCGGCCAACTCAGTCCAACTGCCTTCTTTTTTTTTTTCATTATGACTTGGATCCCTTTTCTTTATAAATAGGGGAAAGTGCGTTTGTGGCACAAAATAGTTTCGAAAGGGCAAAAAAAAAATCTGTGGGCATATTCGTGGGGGCCCGACTTTGAAAAGGCAAGGGAAACATGGGAGTGCAATAACGTAGAGGCCGAAGTCTGATATGAGCGGTTGTGGCAGTTTTAAATGGGTGGCTGTGTCGCAGGCACGGTACCGGTTTGGGTACCGGTCTGTTCCCAAGTACCGGGCCGGTCAAAAATATTTTGACCGTGGCCAATCTGGGGTGTGGCCGAGACATCTCGGCCGTGGCCAATCCGGGGTGTGACCGAGACATCTCGGCCGTGGCCCGACCATGGGGTGTGGCCGAGA